AAGAATGTCCATGTACCACGACACTGCCGCCGGTCGACAGTGCTACTCTGTCCGGCTCGACGACTTCACCTCAGTACCGGTCCTGCAACAGCAATGTTGCCATCGGCCTGGCCGACACATCTTCTGGTTGCGACCAGCACTCACGAGGGTGCCGAACTGCAGGCAATTGTGCAGGTCCCAGGCATGTATATCACCCGAACTCTCGACTGCATTCCTGGCCAGCGGCGCTGACGATGTGCAGAATACAGCCAGTTGCGGGTTGCATCACTCACGCCATGTGCATTTAAAACACTTGAAAGAACAATGCAGTAGGGCAAAGAGAAGGGAGCTTCAAGCTCCTCGCCCACGTGGTACGATGGCCAGTACTGTTAGTTAATACATCAGCGGGGGCCGAGACGCCCAGATAAAATAAAACAAAGGTCACTTTTTTTAACTCGCGCATTGCAAGATAAAAAAAAGCAGGGAAATCAGAGTGCAACACCTACGCCACAATCCACCTAGTTGTGCCACGTGCGTCAGGTGACTGTGCAGAGCCTAAGGCCTAATGAGTCACTTTACAACAACCGGCATCCACCCATCACCCAGCCTATGCGTAGAAGAGGCAGCCGCAAGGAGACGTCCACTCTGTAAGGTGGCCCTATCGCTCGCCACACACAGCAGCTTACCGAGCAATCGGCGCCCATCGTCCCAGATGGTGTCACGAGGCCCCGGCATTGAGTCGCAAGACAAGACAGCACCGACGTCCGACTCCCTGAGTTCAAAAGAGATAAAAGAAGCTATTTACAGAAAATCGGACCACCCTCGAGGCTTCGCTATTCACTCGCTTCAGGCTTGGCCTACAATCTACGTGCTCTAAGCATTGCTCACCCCAGGATGCAGACCGCATGGCTTTTTGTCCCAATTCAGCAACGTTCTTCAAAACCAACCACAAACATAACTACTTGCGAGCAGAAAAAATAAAAAGCTCAATGTGCCGACAAGTTCAAACACGTCACAACAACCGATCTCCTCACTCTCAACAAAGCACACTGCCGACGCTAGCAATGAAAGTCCCCCCTAGGCCTACTCTTCCCCGGCTCAAACAAAAGCTTGTACTGAACCGTGAAAACTGGTGTCCGATCCTCCAAGAGCTCCACGTTGGGCAGCCAGGGTTGGGGTCTCGATGTGGGGAGCGCCACCACGCTCTTGGAGTGAACAGACACAGCAGATGCGGTCAGAATGAATGAAAACAACACACATTTATTTAACTACTTTTGGAACGATGATATCAATAGCCAGATTATTATGACATCAATTGGGATCAACATGCTAAAACATCCTTAACATGCTCAAACATCCTTACACAATATTAAACAACACACAACAACATGACAACAAGGCGGTGTCGCTAACACCTGGCTCACCACAAGGGCCCCCGGCAGACGGCATGCAGTGCTGTGCACCGGGGTCCCACTGTGGGAGACAACCGTTCGCGCCAAACGCCGCCAACCAAAGAGACTAGCTTATTTCTCGTGCGCTGCCACCAAGGCTTGCCGCAAGGCATTGCCACTGGCACGAATGTTTTCTAACCATGATGATGATGGTAGCGATAAACTCTCACAAGCACAATGTCCCCTGCCGCACGATAGTTGTGAACCCCAAATGTGGTCTATGCGCTAGACATGTGTGCCATGAGGCGCAAACAACTTTATGGAGGGTGTTAGCACCCCTACATCGTTAAAACTCAAGAATACCCGCAGCACCAGGGAAGTGTTTGATAGAGGTTTCTTGTGTATGTTTGAGTGTTCACAGGTAAAGATGAACTTCACTGTGATTCGAGAGGAGCCACATGCTGAACACTACAAGTTTGAAGAGCAATATGGTGATATGAGGGGAGACTTGGTGCCACATACTGTAAACCGTATGAGCAGACAAACAGCAGGAACAAAAGAATAGAATTTGACAAGAGGGATGCTCAACTTACAACTGATGTTTAGAGCATGGGAGAGCACATGTGCCTTATTACAGCAACATCTGATATCAGTTCTAAGCGAGACCTATCAACTTTTTCCCTTCTGTTCCTGCTGTCTGTCTGCTCATGCAGTTTTACAAGTTTGAAGAGCTTTCATCAAGTTACAGTGGCACACACACTTTCACCAGAAAGTTAGATTGAAATATTTGATGGCACACTGACATGTCTGCATGGCACTGAGCTTTCATCTCAAAATTTTAAGAAAGTTCAGCATTAATTTACTTTCCATTTACCGGACAACACTGCATGAATTGGAAGAGAGTTTCGAGAAAATACTTTATTGTAAGACTACCTTAATTTTTATGTGTAGTGCCCCTTCGGGAGGCCCTGAGCTCTCTTGACATGTGGCTCTCTCAGATGTTTTTGGCATTCTCACATGACCTGCTTCAAGGGCAGGGTTTATGTTTCATGTTCTGTACTGTAACACACTTATATGACTTGGCTTGGGCCAATATTCGAATGACTTCAATATACAAACGAATACTACTTATTCCATTCGCATTGATTTGAGTCGAAATTTTCGAAAATTTAGAAATATTAGAAATGAACACAAAAATGTTATTAGTCCACACGCAATATCTTGTAAAGATGCTTACACTTCAGTCGAGGGGGGGCTAAGCCGTGGAAGCACCTGTTCAAATCTACTACAGTTGAATATTGATAATTCGAACTCGAAGGGGCCTGAAAATTCATTCGCATTAAAAGAAGTTCGTAATAATTAAAGCTAGATGAACGGAGAGCTCACCATGCAGTAGCGCATGTGCATTGAGTTAACACACGAAGGGGAAGTTTCAGAAGACTAATATTTTATGGTATTGCGGTTTCGGTTTCAGTTTTGAAACTGGTTGGCTCACCCCTAGGGGACGTTGTACATATGTATATATAGCGATTCCTGTGTATATAAAGAGTTCCTGCTTGGCTACCGGCTGCTGCATACTTCTTGTTGACTGGCTCTTAAGCCCCGTGCCCTGTGTTCTCTGTGCGGCGCGTCCGCTGCACGATACTACACATTTAGCCACAAATCACAGGACATCCGTCATTAATTAAAGGGATCGGTGATGCGCATCTGCAAATGTTTGCCTTGTAGCAAATCAATCAATTTCGCACACAGCTTGCAAAGCATTTGTACTTTGGCTTCAGCATTTTTCTGGCAACAGAAGTTGCGTGTGGCAATGTCCAGCGCCTACTCTCTCCAAAGACGACGACAATGACTGCATCTCTGCTGCTACCCTCAGCCGCGGCGTGGTCAGCACGTGACGAGAAAGGAGGAGCGTCTCCAGGCACAGAGGCCTTTTTTTCTCTCTCTCCCTTTCTTCATGCGTGACATTGAAAGGAGAAGGGTCTCTATGTGGCAGGGACGGAAAAGAGGGAAGCGTGGCACAGGCACATCACAGATCGGCATTTGAGAGAAGGCAAACATTCCCCCGCAGCCTTTCCTTTCCTTTCCTTTTTTCCTTCTTCGCGTGCAGCGTTGAGGTGTCGGAGGTGCCGACAAGGAATTGGGTGGTGTGCTGAGAGCATTTTTCAGCATGGTATGTTCAAATTAATCATTGCAAGTGCTTGCGCATTCCAATCACAGGGGGTTTCCATCCATAGGTATACACATAGCTTTGACGGGACCACAGCGTCAGTTATAATTAACAGCAAGTTCGAATTAAGCGTGTTCGAGTTAATGAGATTTGACTGTAGTATAATAATTCGCATGTAATTTTACATAAAAGTAGTTTCACAGAAGCAATGAGGCGCTAAGCCATGAAAGACTTATTCAGGGGAAATTCATGCTGCCGTGAAGTCCCACTTTGAGGTTAAGTGAGCATCTTACGCTCATATGGATTTATCATTCTTTAAGAATAAAGGCTCCTAATACTGGCTTGTATACTCTACGTACAGAAAACTGTAAAATGCAATATACAATAATTTACAGATGATTTCTTGCATTCTAACGAAATTCAAATCCTGCTACTATTCAAAGTTGTTTCAGCTTTGAACCAAAAAGGATGGCTTTTGCACAGGCCTTATTTCAGTTTGAAAAAAAAAAAAAAATATTGTGCAGGTGAGTTGGGTCACGAAAAATATACTTATTTTTTTTTATAAGAATTCGATTCTAAATTATTCAACAGAAGTTTCTATTCGCTATGAATTAGCTTCAAACCTAAAATAGCTATTTGCACAAGTCTACATGAACCATAGGGGCAAGAAATAGATGTAAGGAGGGGGATAAAATTTTATTGACACCAGAAATGGGTCAGATGAGGGGGTGGGAAGGGGTCAGAGAAAAACAAAATGATAGGTCTTCGCACTTCGACAATCCCTATGATCCAGAATTGATTTTTCGCTGAGGCTCATTTATTCGTGATACACAACCTAAGGAAATTAACAGGTGAAGAAAGCCAAGGTGGGCATAATGGACATTATATGTCGTTTTTAACTGTAGTGTAGTAAATATGAGAAGAACAGAAATGAATAAAAACAGACAAAAAGACAACTTGCCATCATTGGGCACTGATTGCTTTTTCAAAAAAAAAAAAAAAAGATTTTCTTCAGAATGGTGGCACACGTGATTTCATGGCGCGTTATAACGATGATTACTCTGTTGTTAGGTGAATTCTGTTTTCTTTGATTTGTCTTTTCTCTTTTTGTTAGATACTGCTCAAGTATATATTGCACGGTTCCAGCAAATAAATCTTGTTGTAAGTTAGTGCCTCTGTCTGTCTCCTTCTTTTCTTGTCCCTCGATATTGGTGCTGTTTTTTATGTGAATTCACAACCTTTCCATTTTGCATCAACTGTTCAAGCACTGGAGCTACACAGTGGTCATTCTTCCATCCGCTTTACTGCGTATTCATGCGAGTGTAAATCTGGAAATGTTAGTCAGTCATTCTCATGACAGCGAGTGCAGAACACTATTGCAGTTGTTGGACCCAGTATGCACACATACCTTGCCTGCACTTGCTGTATACCACCCATTTTTGAGGATTGTGTACTCGCAGGCAATGCACGATTTCTGGCCAACGTATGAAACCTTGTCATCTGCAAGAAACCTGCTCGGTGACAGAACGAGACCTTGGGAGCTGCGCATAGCAGTGTACAAGTTTCTGACCAAGGAACCGGACCGCTGGAAGTTTGGCAAAGCGGTTGGCAGTGCCCTGGATGGCGAGCCCCGACACTCGGAGTTGATGGACTACGTTGTGTCCGACTTTCTTGACTCGCTTCCTGAAGAAATCAAGGTGGCTTTGGAAGAAGGGAAGTTTGACAGCGACAGCGTCATGTAAGTCTTGAAATGCTTAGCTGTGACCAATAGTCAGAAATTTTACACCTTAACAGCTATAACAATGGGCAGGCATGTTGTTTATTGAAAGTGTTTCATTCCTGTCTTGGCTCTGTCAATTTTCACATGGTCTCACCATCTAGCTCAATTTTGAACAACTTGAGGCTGGCCCAGTTCGTGCTTTTCAATTGTTGCACCAACGGTTGTCCTAATACATTAACGATTAAACTGAACAAACCAATAGGACCCTTATCAACATCATGTTGACTCTAGACACAAAATGTGGGACGTGGTCTTGTCATGTTTCTGCGCATGTCACAAGTCCCTGTACATTGCTACAGAAAGGCAGGAAGAGGAAGATGGAAGCCTGCGATGAGCAAGTGTGCTGGAGCTGATGTGTCCACTTGTTGCAATGTGGGCTGCAGCACATTCCCCGTGTTTACGAATTTCGCATATGTATCGCTACGTCTTTTTATGAAGAAATGAGTTGAAAGTCTACGAAGCATGTCATCGTACCTCTTTCTGTCCTCGTCTTTTGTGTAAGGTTAAAATGTCCACAAACAATGGCTCAATTCTATTCGTTGCTCGCCTCTTTTTGTTTAATTGAATCCACTTTCTTCTTTTATCAAATGAAGGTTTATTATATTGTTACAATGGGCAGTCATGTGGTGCTATGGTAATGCAGCCAATTTTTGTTCATTGTAGTACATTGGTTACCCTGGCCTCTGTTTCATGCTAGTAGTGTCACATGAGCAAATTGCTTCACCGTTGCCATTATCACTTAGAGGCCATGCTGCTAAACAGCAAAAAAAATGTGTCATTTGAAACTGATGATGGTGTCTATATTTCATTTCATTTCATTTTGTTTCAGTTTTATTGAGCATTTTCTTCACAGAGTTGGGGAAAGAAAACACAAGGATAAGAGCAAAAAGCTGCTATGTTAGCAGCTTGACGAGGTTCCTACCCCTTTTCACTTGGCATTACAAACCTGCAGAGCACAAACATGAAAAAACAATTTGACGTCGGTTTTCAAAAACTTCAAGAAATTAGGAAATAAAAAGAAAAGGAATCAAAATTACATCAGTTTCAGGTTCACATAAAATAGGCAAATCACAAAGAGAGAAAAACAACAAATAAAACAAGAAAACAGTGTACGGTCAATCATAAAACAATGCACACGTTGCTAAACGGCTAACAAAGTATTACAAAATGATTATAAGATGTTTACAACACTGGGTATGCAAAAAGCACAAGTTTTAATGTACAAGGAAAACACTGACGAGTGAAATGTTACATGTTTTACTCGTAAAAAAAACAACAAAAAAAATGACAAAGAAAGCAAACATCATAAGATGCCATATTATACACGAGCACTATTATAGGGTGTTTCTTTTACATATAGCATTTTAGCCGGACAATAGGAAGAAGCTAAACTACATGCCGCCATTCTGGATGAGAAGCTTCTTGAGTTGTTTTTCATGTATATTAAAGATGTCGATGTTTTTATTTTCAAACATGTTAAAACAAGCAGGAATACAGTGTTCAAGTCTTCTCAAGCTGTGATTAGTTTGCGAATAAGGAACGAACCAGGAAGGCCTTTTCCGAATGTCATAATGGGATTTTGTAGTTTTTCTGAGGTTACGCAGTTTAAGAAAACAAGCGTTGTTTGATAGCAAGCTTTGTTTGTATTTCATAATAAGGTTAAAGCTGTGTATGTGATCGATCGGTAAAATGTTATATTCTCTGAATAAATCACTTGTATGTGCGTCGTATGGTACGTTTGCAATATTAAGAATTGCTTTTTTCTGCAGTAAAAATATTTAATTTCCGATTTTCTTTAGATGTATCTGCCCGCACTAGACTACAATAGTTAATGTGAGATGAAAACAACGTATTATATAGTAAAAGTTTAATGTTTGCTGGAAGCATCTGTCAAAGTTTAGAGAGTGTACCACACGTCCTAGCTATATTTCTAGTTACCTTATTGACGTGTTTGTCCCATTTAAGATTTTTATTACAAATTACTCCTAATGATGAAACTTCTTTGACAAGCTCAATTTTTTCGGGCCCTAGGTGTATATCCGAACCACGACACACAGCCTTCTGAACCGGTGCGAATACCACAACTTTGGATTTTTTTGTGTTGATCAATAAATAATTTACAGTACTTCATATGAAGATGTCATTAAGAATGTTGTTGGCTGTGTCTGCAAGCTTACCTAAATCATTACCATGAAAAAATATACAAGTGTCATCTGCATAATATATAAAGTCCACATATTTGCTGACACTTGTTATGTCGTTTATATAAATATTAAACAGTCGGGGCCCTAATATGCTGCCCTGAGGTACATCTGACGTTCTGGTTAGTAGGGAGGATTGGCTGTCATTTATAACTACAGATTGCTTTCTTTGTGATAAATACGATTTCAGAAAGTCAAGTGGGGTTCCTCGAAAACCTAATGACGCAATTTCGCATAGAGTATTTCGTGGTTAATTCTGTCGAATGCTTTGGAATAGTCAATAAAAACACCCAGTGTTAACAGTTTCTTTTCAAATGAGTTAAGTGTGGGTTCTTTTTTATGTGAGGAGAGCCAGTTTCGTGGACATGCCCCGTCGGAAGTTGAATTGATGCGGTGATGCGGTGATAATATAGAGTACTTCTCACAAAAAGACATAACACATTGTTATACAATTTTCTCTAGCCCTTTAGATATAACAGGAAGTAGGGAGATCGGACGATGATTAGAAAAGATGTTTCGGTCACCAGATTTGTATACGACACTCTCTCTCGCATGCTTCATTCTTTCTGGAAAAACTCCCGTAGATAAGCAGGTATTAATTAGATGGGTAAGAACATGTAACAAAAGATCAAGTGCTGCTTTAATAGGCTTAATTTGTAGGTCATCTATGTCCCGAGCAGTAGTGTTCTTTAGGGACATAAATACAGACAATACTTCTTCAGGAGTTGTGTTTAAATAATATGCAGTGCTCATGTCTGGCACACCTAGAAAGTTCCTGTAATCGCTATTACATGCACGAGAAGGGTTTGATAAATCGGAGGACAGCAGCGTTGTGAAGTACACATTAAATTTATTAGCAAGTTCTTCACCTTTTACTATCTTGTTATCTATGTTTGACTCAAGTGCCTTGTCTCGAGAGCAATGACTATTTAGGAGATTATTTATTTCTCGCCAAAGCACATCGCCACGAGTGCTAACCCTGTTGAAGAGAGCTTCATAGTACGCATCCTTAGTTTTTCTCAGGTGCTTCGTTACAAAATTTCTATACCGCTTGAATTCCGAAAGATTGTTATGGTGTCTTGTTTTCACGAATTTCACGTAAAGTAGATTTTTTTTCTTAATCATTTCCAGACATTCTCGCATCATCCATTGTTTCTGACATTTCTTGAGGGTTTTGATCATTTTATATTTAAAGCACTTATGGTAAGTTTTTATTAACAGGCACATGAATATTTCATATGCCTCATTAGCGTTAACTGATTTATAGACAGGATCTCAACTAATCTGGGTGATTTCACGCCTAAAACTGTCTTATGTTTTGCTACTAATTTCCTGTATTTTGTATGATTCTGGAGTTGATACTTTTGCACGATTAAGATACTCGTTGGTATTTTCAAACATGTATATAGGGTAGTGATCACTAATATCGGCAATAACAGTTCCAGGTACGGTTGAATCATTTATGTCATTTGTAATAAGTAAGTCGATAAGGCTTTCAGTACCTGAAGTGACACGTGTAGGTTCAGTAATAATATTAGCACACCCAAAATAATCAAGCAGTAGTTTGAAGTTACCAGATGTTTCAGTTTGCTGTCGAAGGTTAATGTTGCAGTCACCCCCTATGATAATGTGCAACTTGTTAGAGCACACATACGGCCCTGCCGCGGTGGTCTAGTGGCTAAGGCTGCTGACCCGCAGGTCGCGGGTTCAAATCCCGGCTGCGACGGCTGCATTTTTGATGGAGGCGGAAATGTTGTAGGCCCGTGTGCTTAGATTTGGGTGCACGTTAAAGAAACCCAGGTGGTCAAAATTTCCGGAGCCCTCCACTACAGCATCTCTCATAATCATATGGTGGTTTTGGGACGTTCAACCCCACACATTAATTAATTAATTAGAGCATGGGTACGTAAGCAGATTTTTAAGAAATCGAAAAAACGCTTCTGTTTTTCCGTCAGGTGGACGATAAACTACCACATATACATACTTGTGACATGCTAGCGATAATGCTTCATAGTCTGGTGTAATTGCTTAAAAGTCTTAGAGAAAGCTGCAAACTAAATGGTCATTAATTAGTTGCAACACACCTCCCCCTCGACGAGAGAGCCTGTTTAGAAAGAACGATTTATACGTTGGCAAGCATAGTACCTCGTCATTGCACATGTACCAGGTATCAGAAATTCAATTCAATTCAATTCAATTTTATTTCATCCCAAGGATGAGGGCAGGCTCAGGAGAAAAGTGACTTTTTGTCACTTGATGAGAACCCGAGCCTCCCTAATACATGGCAAGCAACGTGGGCATGGGTGAAGATACATAGGCCATGAACATATAGGCAATGAACATAGGCCATGAGATGTTTGGCGCAGTACAAGTCGGAAGATGCACGTACAGTAATGCTATGTACAGAGACTAATTTGCCTAAGTAGTTTCTTTCGGCACAAATTCCGAAGTACAATGCAAAATATGACAGAATACAAGATACTATATATATGACAACAATGCTATGTATAGAAATTGCGCGTACACACATACACATAAATATACACACATATATGTAGTAAAATAAAGGTGTTATACATCGAAAAAGGTTCAGACGCATCTTGGCAAAATGTGCTTTATCAGGCAGGTCTGGCTAATGGCGAGCGGCGTGCGCGAGCTACTACTACAGCCACCAATCATCATCGTCTTCTTCATTGCCAGCAGAGCGTCCCTTATTCAGATTCATTAATTCATTACAATTACTCCCCGCGAAATGAG